AACTCATTCATATACATTCACACAGTATCTGGAGCAATTCAAGGTTCAGTATCTTGCTCAAGGATACTTCAACATGTGGCGGGAGGACACCGGGGATCGAACCGACAACCTACTGATCAGTGGACGACCCGCTCACGTGCATTGACCAGCCTGTACAGAGACCTCTCCTTAAACCTGTGGTCACTGATCATATCTGGCAACCCCCGTTACAGTTAGAGATGCTGCACACTGGGCGGATGGACACTGCTGTCACTTTTTAACTACTTTCATTCAGACATGCAGAAAAAGAAATTATTCAAACTTTATTGATCTGTCTGAATAAAAAATTACAGTCTATAAGCACACAAGTGCATTTGAAATAGATTGCCCTTTTTATTGCATGCTCTATCAGTAAACCACTTGTCGGATGATCACCAGCATCAGTAAAGCAGTGTGTGGAAGTATTCTGTGTTCCAGACGGCAAAATGACAGACAAAGATGAGGCAGTTTGCTGACTTTGCAAAAAGCAGCTGCCTTACTCTGCAACCACAAAAAACCCGTGGAGCAACATCAACTGTACAACCTCGTCTGACAGTCACTCAGACTGCCTACTTTGAACCACACTCAATCTCCTGAGTGGAACCGGTTCAAGAACCAGAGCTACTTTGGTGGAAAAGGGGTCCTTCCTGGTCCACACTTCTCTTCGCAGTAGTTCCTGTTTAGAGCCACAAATGCAGTGTTTTTGAACCATTCATTTTACCTCTGCTGACTATCTTACTATCACATTTGAGCTTTAACTAATCATTCATGTATGCACATGCTACGTGCATGAACATGACGACATAGCAGGCTGACATTGAAACAAAATATTACAGGAAATGCAAAACCTTAAGTTAGGTTTCAGCAGCCTCAGATTTTGGTATTTTCATTTCAGTGATGTAGTATTTAGATTCCTGGGTGTACCACTAAAGTCAGCTCTATAATTTGAGAACCAGTGTTGTAAGAGAAACTATGGTGGCTGCAAAACACAAAAGGCCCTATCTAGAGCCAGTGTTTGGTTTGTCTGTTTTGAGCTACTGTAGAAACATGGTGGTTCAACATGGCTGACAGCCCCCTGTAGAATCAAAGGATGTCTGAAAATAACTATAAGCTTCTGCAAGTAACCAGACAGACAGGCAAACTGCTACGGTTATAAATCAGCTGTACACTACCCCACTACCTCCCTGTCTGTGACACTTACAGTATTCAGTCCTGTATACTCCTATAGAACTTCACACATTGTAACTTCACTTTGAAAATTCCACCACCGATGGCACTTATCAGTGGTGTATGACCCATGACCCTGATGCTAACTAGGCCATGAAACAATCCCACAGTAATAAGCTCTGAATAATATGAAAACCACACAGCGAGCGCAGAAAATAGCTCATATGCTCCGAGCAAGGAACAATGGGTTGTGTGACGGGAGTGATCAAAGTGATGACAGATGAGAGAAAACAATGTCAGAATCCAGATTAGTAACAGCCCTCATTAATACGTGCACTGTGGAGTTCAACGTCAGGGCTGCTGTGGTTGTTCAGAGAGGAGACATATTTGTGAAAAGTCATTTTTGAATGGATTCTTCTCCTCTGAGAGAAGACCAACGGCTACAATGTTCCTTCTGTCACTCCCTGTGCATATGTGGGCTGGCATATGGAAATACATGCATTCCAGCCCAATTTCTTATTGTCCCTCTGCCCACCCACCCGTACCTCATCTCTGCAATAGGGGGGGGGTTAAAACTGTCACAGCAAAAATATGTGCTGCATTCCCTGGAATGGTGGAGAAATTATTCAGTTATTTGCAGAATGTAACTTACGATCTGCTGCGTTGAAGACATGACTCTGAATCTGGTGTTAGTTATTAGACAGATTTGTGTTGTTTCTGCAGTTGCCTCGCTCTGCTTTCAAACTAAACAGTGCACTTGAAGCCATCACTTATTCATAGATTAACATTGTGTGGTTGAACAGCCTGCAGCTTGCACTTTTGTTTCGAGCTAGGGGAATTTGACAAGTTGCATAAGACGTGGACAAGTGCATGAGGACATCTCCAAAAAAAACACTCTTGAGAAGCTATGCCAGCAGTTAAAGTCCCCCTCCAGTCAAAAATCTGTTTCCTCCAGTCCCTCCACACGGTTGTTTGAGCTTCACTGTGCAAAGTGATGTTTGTGCAGAGTTTGACACTAGAAGGATGTTTTATTACGTTGATCTGTTAAAGTGGAAAGTTTCCCTGTATGCAACTTGTTCAGTGTGATCCACTGAGGCCTAGTATGGGAGTCTGGATAAAGAATATGGCCCAATGTATGTCCATGTAGAGAACTTACATACATAGCCTACTCAGAACCATGAGTGATGAATCATGGTGACTTGTGGGGTGTACTGATACAAGGAGACCACTGAGATGATTTATGACAAGTTTGTTCAAGCTACTGACATACCTTTGGATCTTTTGCTGGCACTTTTTTTCTTTTTCTAATTTTTTGCTCTTTTTGTTTAAAATATTCAGATTTTATTTTTTGCCTCCTGAAATGTTTTATTCCTGGTTCCAGCCATAAAAGGCACTTTGTAAAAGTGTTTGTTTTGGACTTTGCAAAACACTGTATAAATAAAGTTGATTATTATTATTGTATTATGTGTCTGGAGGGGGTCTTTAAGTAGGAATACTGGGCTTTAGTGTGGAAACTAACACTTATACAATACAAACTGCAACACAATCAGAGGCTGTAAGGGTTATATGAAAAAAATATAATAATTGAGTGTCCCTTTAAGTTCAGTAAAGGGTGTGTAAAAGCATTTGAGGCTGCGTTTATATGGAGATGCCATATGCTAACGTTATATCACCACACACACTCACTTATTACAGGTTCACAGAGCATACACTTTAGCTAAAGTGAAGATTAGCACCTCGTATGTCTATATGGTTGCTGGCACCCGAGAAACAAACAAAAGAAACCCAGAAGTGAACAGAATAATAAAAACACAAAGTAACGAAAAAAAAGTCATGACTTAAAGACGAGAAAAGCACTCATAAACATTGTAACGAAATATTCAGTTGTGACTTACTTCAGTGTCTGAGTGAGGTGGAATCCCAACAAGGCAAAAAGTAACTCCATTCATTGGTTTCTCAGCGTGTGTAAACCGGAACAAAAGAAACGTTTTACTCTTCTGTCAACATTGTGGACATTTCTCTCAAGTCCCGTGGCTGATAGCGGCTCCAGTGCGGACCGACTGTCCGCCTGTCCCTCTCTGTACAACGTAAACAGCCCGCTGCCAGCCAGCAGCGTCACGCGGCCATATTAAGGCACAGCAGTACCGGAAATCGGGGTAGTCGGACTTCAAAATAAAGGCGTCAAAGTGCTCGCCTTTGGTTTGAAATTTTTTTTTTAATGATTTCCATCATTACAAAATGATCACGTTAAATGTTGTTAATGTTTCCATACACTTACATCATCAGGGTGCGAATTAACTAATCTTAACACTATAGCCGCCATTAACGAAATTTCCCGTCATTTAAGACTAAACGTTTCCCAGCAATTGACGAGATATGAATGAATGACTGATGACATTTCAGCAGAATTAGGGAGATGTCCTTACATCGTTAGGAACGTTACACTTCCACTCAAACAGAATATTATTTTATTTATTTTATATAATAGTTGTTAGTTAGTAACAAAAATAGTCAAGTGCAGATACAAAATGAATAAACAAAGTTAGAATAAAACATTTTTTTAATAAAAATTGAGGCTCTGTTCTGTCTTTTGATATATTCACTGTTCCCATATTCATTGAGCATAATATTCTGTGGGTCTTGAAAAATTAGTGAATATGATCAAAAATGCTTGTCGTGGCTGGCAACTTATAAATAATACTTTGGCAGGGAAAGTTTTAATAAGACATGAGCCTGAAAACATGATTTGTGAAACTGGGGGACCCCAGTCAAAAGCAATTCTGCCTATGCAGTTTTAATCAATGGAACTTTTTATGAAGTTCATGTTTGTCATAGGTCCAAATTCAAAGAGGTACTCCACCCTGAAACGTGTTTTTTGAGCTGTAAACCTATCAAATAATATGACTGTACTGTGATGAAACCCATTAATGCTGGTGTTAAAAAATTGACATTACCAGATTTATGAAAATCTGCATTTCATGGGTTAAAAATGACTCCACATGTCCTCTGTTGTTTTAAATCACCCTGAATCTTGTGAGTGCAATGCTGAGAAGCAGCTGCTAAGCTGGCAGGTGTAACTTTAACATAAGACTGCAAGTTCATGTGGTCAGTCCACCCCTGCCTCCTGTTTCATTACAACACTGTAATGCGATGAGTTATAAGTTTATAGTAGGTATTTTGTTTTCACAGTACAAATACAAAGTACAAAATTAGTTCGACTTAAAATTACTAAAGCTGACTTATCAAGAATGTTTTTTAACTTACAAAATTTAGTTAGTTTTACTTAAAAGTTTCAATGTAGTCAGTTTCATACATTTTTTTAGTTAAATTAACTTATCTGGTTTTACAGTGAATGCTTTGGAACTGGCTCCTTCATGTAGCCTATTCCAACTCTCATTGTGCAAAACTGAGCATGCTAATTCAGCAACTGAGACATAAAAAGCCACTCTTGTACATTGAGCCACTGGGAAAGGCAATAGTAACTCTTGATCACAGGCAATACACACCGTTTTCTATTAAAAAGGGTGACATTAGGGGTGTAATATATCGCAATATATTGAATAGTAGTAGATTTCCTATATTTTCAGGCAGCATGTGGTAATACGGGTATAGGGACTATAACAATCTAAATTCTGTCTCCAGAGCTTGCATCCATATGTCAAGAGTTTTAAAAAACTACTAAGTGGAACCTTGATTTTATATTACTTTGTCAAACTACTACTTACAAGGTTAAGGATGAACTTCGCTCCAATCTAGAGCAAATACTAGAATATGAAGAAAATGAGTGGCGTAATATTTTTAATATTTTTTTCCCCCTCTTTCCACTCGTCAGATGATTACATGGGAGCAAAGGACTGCAAGCAAGAGCCAATATTCCATATATTTATACGTTTCACCCTAACAGATGAAAGGAACATTTTTGTGCTTGAGGCTACAAACATGTGAATTTAAGTCCGGATGTGCCCAGGCTGAAAGGAGAATTTGAATGTAGAGGGCTTATTACTACACGTGAGGAAATAATCAATCATGGACAGATTGATACTTCAGTGCCTAACCTACTTTTTCACACATACACACCACACACACACACACACACACACTATAGGAGAGGACTTGCTCTGTCAGATGTCAATAATGTATATGGACACCGTACATTGACTGTTACAACATGCCTTCATATTCTATGGTCCATATAACTCCAACTGATTTTAAGTCACTGCACACCCGATATCCATCCACACAGTACCGCCTGACTGGACCTCTTCTCAGCCTGA